ATTTGCTCTCCTTTTACTGTAAATCAAGGAGTCTTGCTGTGTGCTAGTGAACATTCAGCTACCAACTGGAAGGTCCCACCCAGTGGTTCTCAACCTGTGGGTTGCGACCCCTTTGGGGCTCAAACGACCCTTTCACAGGGGTCGCCTGATTCATAACAGTAGCAAAATTATCGTTATGAAGTATTAATGAAAATAATGTTACGGTTAGGGCGTCACCACAACACGAGGAACTATATGGAAGGGTCGCAGCATTAGAAAGGTGGAGAACCACTGCTCTAGCCACTCTGTGTTAGGAGAAGGTACCTTGGCAGTTTGCTCTGTGAAGACTACAGCTTTGGCAATCTTATGGGGGCAGTTCTTGTCTGTCCGTCTGTCCTAGAAGGGAATCAACTCAATGGCAGCTGATAACGCGAAAGCAGATGGACTTCAGTCCCTGAAGAGTTTCCAGAAAGTCATTGTCTCCCCTGAAACTGTATAAAAGTTTCTCTCTGTTCATTTTCCAGGGCAGAGGGACTCATAACTTTCATTAGATTATTAAAGGTAACTCTCACTTATGACCAAGGGCCCTGGCGGAGTAGTGGGTTCTGGGTTGGGCCGCCAATCACAAAGCCAGCAGTTGGAAAGCAGCAGGTGCTCTGCAGGGGAAAGATGAGGCTTTCTACTCAGGTAAAGATTACAGTCTCCAGCAGCTCAGAAAACAAAACCCAACAGAAGATTCAAGATCTCAGAAACCCACAGGCATAGTTCTGCTCAGTCTCGCCAGGCCTCGGGAGGAGTCAGAATTGGCTCCCTAGCAGTGAGTTTGTGTTTGGATGATTACGATCCAGTGCCCTAACTCTTGCTTTTCTCCTCCGCCTTCCTCTTTTTTTCAGTTAGCAGTGTTACCTGGTTCGAAAAGGAAAACCTTCGTAGTTGAAGCACCTGGCTAGTCTCTCGCCTGCTCTCCCTCCCCACCCCCATGCAAACAATATAAAAGTATTTAGTGCCTGATCGTTGCTCATGTTTATTTGCGGCTGTTGTAGTGTGCCTATCTTTTTAAAAGTTGGATTTATTTTGTAGTGTGCCTATCTTTTTAAAAGCTGGATTTATTTTGCTGTCATTGAGAACACCCACAGCAAAACACACACCTTGTCAGCAGTTTGCAAGTATCATTTTACGAGGAGCTCCCTCAGACCTTCAGGAGATGGAGTCAGTTTAAAGCATAAATAGATAGCAAAAAAGGTCTTGGCCTTGGCATAAGGCTACTGTGGTTCATCCCACGGGGCGGGGCACC